CGGGGACAGAGAGGGACACAGGGAGACAGACATACATATAGAGACATATATACATATAGAGACATACATACATACATATAGAGACATACATACATACATATAGAGACATACATACATATAGAGACATACATACATACATATAGAGACATACATACATACATATAGAGACATATATACATATAGAGACATACATACATACATATAGAGACATACATACATACATATAGAGACATACATACATACATATAGAGACATACATACATATAGAGACATGCATACATATACATACATAGACATACATACATATAGAGACATACATACATACATATAGAGACATACATACATACATACATACATAGACATGCATACATACATACATATAGAAACATACATACATATAGAGACATACATACATACATATAGAAACATGCATACATACATATAGAGACATACATACATATACATACATATAGAGACATGCATACATACATATAGAGACATACATACATATAGAGACATACATACAGAGACATACATACATACATAGAGACATACATACATACATATAGAGACATACAGACATACATATAGAGACATACAGACATACATATAGAGACATACATACATACATATAGAGACATACAGACATACATATAGAGACATACATACAGACAGACATATAGAGACATACATACATACATAGACATACATACATATAGAGACATGCATACATACATATAGAGACATACATACATAGAGACATACATACATATAGAGACAGACATACATAGATACATAGACATACATGCATACATATAGAAACATACATACATACATACATATAGAGACAGACATACATACATACATAGACATACAGACATACATATAGAGACATACATACATATAGAGACATACATACACATGCATACATACATACAGAGACATACATACATACATACAGAGACATACATACATACATACATACACATAGAGAGACATACAGAGACATACATACATACATACACATACAGAGACATACATACATACACCCATACACATAGAGAGACATACATAGACATACATACAGAGACATAGAGAGACATACACAGACATACATATACATACAGAGACATACAGAGACATGCATATACATACAGAGACATACAGAGACATAGAGATACATAGACATACATACATACACATACACACACACACACATGCGCATACATACACCCACATACACCAACACACACACACCAACACACCGTGGGTGCCTGGCACCCCGAGTACCCACATCCCATGGGTACCCGGGTTCTCTGCATGTCCGTGTACCCACATCCCATGGGTGCCCGGGTTTGCTGGGTGCCCGTGTACCCACATCCCATGGGTGCCCCGGTTCTCTGCGTGTCCGTGTCCCCCCCCACCCCATACCCAGGTCCCATGGGTGCCCCGGTTCTCTGGGTGTCCGTGTACCCCCATCCCATGGGTGCCCCGGTTCGCTGGGTGTCCGTGTACCCACATCCCATGGGTGCCCCGGTTCTCTGGGTGCCCGTGTACCCACATCCCATGGGTGCCCCGGTTCTCTGGGTGCCCGTGTACCCACATCCCATGGGTGCCCCGGTTCTCTGGGTGTCCGTGTACCCACATCCCATGGGTGCCCCGGTTCTCTGGGTGCCCGTGTACCCACATCCCATGGGTGCCCGGGTTCTCTGGGTGCCCGTGTACACACATCCCATGGGTACCCGGGTTTGTTGGGTGTCCGTGTACCCACATCCCATGGGTGCCCCGGTTCTCTGGGTGTCCGTGTACCCACATCCCATGGGTGTCCGTGTACCCACATCCCATGGGTGCCCCGGTTCTCTGGGTGTCCGTGTACCCACATCCCATGGGTGCCCCGGTTCTCTGGGTGTCCGTGTACCCACATCCCATGGGTGCCCCGGTTCTCTGGGTGTCCGTGTCCCCCCCACCCCATACCCAGGTCCCATGGGTGCCCGGCTCCCATAGGTCTCCATGCCCCCCCCCCCCACCCCGTGTGCCCAGGTGCCCGCACCCATCACCACGCTGTGCCTGGGGCCCCCCCATGCCCACCTCCCCTGGGTGCCAGCTCCCCTCGGGCCGGGCAGGGGGTGCTCCCCTTCCCTCGTTCCCCCCGCCCCATGGCTCATTCCCCGCTCCGCTCCCCGTTCCCTCCCGTTCCCTTTATCCCGTGTTTTCCTTCGCGGCCGCAGGAGCTATTTCCATGGCTCCAGGATATTAAATCAAGGCAGCGGCGGGGGGGGGGGGCCCGCATTCCTCACCCGTTACGGAGCGAACGGGGAAAGGGGGGGGACCCGCAGGAGACATCGATTTACCCGGCGCCGCCACCGGAGCCACCGCAGCGGCTGCCGTGTCCCTGCGGCTCCGGCCCCTCGGAGCCCCCAAACCCAGCCCTATGGGGCAGCGCGGGGGGGGGGCCGTGGTTTGGGAGGCTCCGGGCGGTCGAGCCCTCGGTGGCCGCGAGGCCGGGGTTTGGCTCCGGGACCTTGGCGTTGGCATCGGCCCACCCAGGGCGAGCTTGGGTTTGGGGTGAAAACACCACAAAAAAGGCAAATCCGTGGTTTTGGGGGGGGGGGGGGAGGGGCTATGGGCTGCTGGCACCCGGCAGCCCCCACCCCATCGGGAGCCGCCCCTGCCATGGCTCCATCAACCGGGCTCCGGGTGCCCCATGGATGGGGGGGGGGGGGGGGGGGTCCGGGGGGCGCAGGGGGGCCAGTGGGGTCCGGGCAGAGCCAACGTGAGGCAGCCCTGGGGCAGCGCATGTGGGGGGGCAGGCACCGTGCACACGTTGCACACGTGTGCTCCTATGAACATGCGTGTTCCTGTGCACATACGTGTTCCTGTGCACATACGTGTTCCTGTGCACATACGTGTTCCTGTGCATATACGTGTTCCTGTGCACATACGTGTTCCGTGCACATGCGTGTTCCTGTGCACATACGTGTTCCTGTGCACATACGTGTTCCTGTGCACATACGTGTTCCGTGCACATACGTGTTCCTGTGCATATACGTGTTCCTGTGCACATACGTGTTCCTGTGCATATACGTGTTCCGTGCACATACGTGTTCCTGTGCATATACGTGTTCCTGTGCATATACGTGTTCCTGTGCATATATGTGTTCCTGTGCATATATGTGTTCCGTGCACATACGTGTTCCTGTGCACATACGTGTTCCTGGGCAGATACGTGTTCCTGTGCATATACATGTTCCAATGCACAGGCATGTTCCTGTGCACATACATGTTCCTATGCACATACATGATCCTGTGCACATATGTGTGCCTGTGAGCACACCCATGTTCCTGTGCACATACATGTTGCTATGAACATACATATGCCTATGCACAGGCATGTTCCTGTGCACAGACAGGTTCCTATGTACATACGTGTTCCTGTGTGCACATACATGTTCCTGTGCACATACGTGTTCCTGTGTGCACATACATGATCCTATGTACATACGTGTTCCTGTGTGCACATACATGTTCCTATGTACATACGTGTTCCTGTGTGCGCATACATGTTCCTATGTACATACGTGTTCCTGTGTGCACATACATGTTCCTGTGCACAGACATGTTCCTGTGCACATACGTGTTCCTGTGTGCACATACATGTTCCTATGTACATACATGTTCCTGTGTGCACATACATGTTCCTGTGCACATACGTGGTCCTGTGTGCCCATACGTGTTCCTGTGTACATACGTGTTACTGTGCAAGTACATGATCCTATGCACATACATGCTCCTGTGTACAGACATGTTCCTATGCACATACGTGTTACCGTGTGCACATACATGTTCCTGTGCACATAGGTGTTACCATGTGCAGTATCATCCCCTGCATGGCTGTGACTGGCCAGGGTGGGTGTGTGGGGCTGGGGCACCCGCGTGTGCTGCCGTGATGGGGGGACCCCAAAACTGTCTCACTGGGCCTGGGGACATGGGGACAGAGGGAGGGGGGACCAGGGGATGGGGTCACAGAGACGGGGGGACACAGGGGGCAGAGGGATGTGGGGACATGGGGACACTGGGATATGGGGACACCGGGATATGGGGACGCAGGAATGTGGGGGCACAGGAGGATGTGGGGACATGGGGACAACGGGTATGGGGACACTGGGATATGGGGACACTGGGATATGGGGACACAGGAATGTGGGGGCACAGGAGGATGTGGGGACATGGGGACAACGGGTATGGGGACACTGGGATATGGGGACACCAGGGTATGGGGACACAGGAATGTGGGGGAACAGGAGGATGTGGGGACATGGGGACACTGGGATATGGGGACACCGGGATATGGGGACACCGGGATATGGGGACACTGGGATATGGGGACATGGGGACACCGGGATATAGGGACACCGGGATATGGGGACACCGGGATATGGGGACACAGGAATGTGGGGGAACAGGAGGATGTGGGGACATGGGGACACCGGGATATAGGGACACCGGGATATGGGGACACCAGGGTATGGGGACATGGGGACACCGGGATGTGAAGTTTTGGGGTCCTGGGAATGGGGAGAAACAGGAAAAAAGGCCATGGGGGATGTGGGGCCACGGGGGGGGGGGGGGGGGGCTGTGGAGACCCAGAGACAAGGGCACAGCCCCAGACTGTCCCCAACCCCACTCCTGCCCCACCACCCGCACGGGGGGGGGGGGAACGCATTGAACCCGAGGGGGGTCCCGTGTCCCCCCCCCCCCCGTGCCTCAGTTTCCTTCGGAGCCGGAGCCGCTCTGACGCCTCAGCGATCCCGTTATTGCTTGGGGGGGGGGGGGGCACAGCTTAAAAAGGGGGGGGGGCACACACATTACATTACATTAGCGCCTAATGACCCGGGCCAACCCTGTCCCTGAGCTCTGTGCGGGGGGGGAGAGGTTTTGGGGGGGGAGAAGATGGGGTTTTGGGGGGCTGGGGGATGTCAAAGTGAGCCCCCCCTCCCCCCATAATTTAAGACATAAATTATAGTCGCTAAGGAGGGGATGCGGGGGGGGCAGCGCCCCATAATAAATACCCCCGATGGGGCTGGGGCCGGGGCTCAAATCTCCAGCAGGTTCCCAGGCTCGGGGCTCCCGGTCTCTTTACCGGGGGAGCCCGGGGGCTGCCGGGCTTGGGGGGAAGCCTCCGGGGGCTGCTCGGGGCCGGCTTTGGGGGCCGCGGGCTCGGCGTGGGTCTTCTGGTGCTTGCTGAGGTGGTCGGAGCGGGTGAAGCGCTTGCTGCAGAGCAGGCAGGTGAACTTCTTCTCGCGGGTGTGGGTCCGGACGTGCCGCTCCAGCTCGTCGGAGCGGGTGAAGCGCTTGCCGCAGAAGAGCCAGTTGCAGACGAACGGGCGCTCCCCCGTGTGCCAGCGCAGGTGAGCTTTGAGGTGCGAGGCTTTGCCGTAGACCTTCCCGCAGCCCGGGATGTGGCAGCTGTGAACCGGCTTCCGACGGGACCCCCCCCCCGGGCCCCCCAAGCGCTCCAGCTCCTGGCAGTTGGGGCAGTCGCAAGCCGGGCGCCCCGGCAAGGAACCGGCGCCGCGGGGACCCTTCGGGGCGTCCCCAGCGCTGGGTTTTGGGGTCGGGGGAGCCGCGGGGGGACCGCTGTAAGGGGGGGGGTTCAGAGCGCCGAAGTCGGAGCCGTAAGCGGGGAGCGGGGGGCTCAGGGCGGGCTGCGCCTGCAGCGAGCCCTGCAGCCCCTCGGCGCCCGCCGGGCCCCCCAACCAGCCCCCGTTGGGGTGCACGTCCCACCAGGAGGGCGCCGCGGGCCCCGAGCCCCCCGGCAGGCCCCCGCCGAGGCCGCCCTTGTACCAGGAGCCGTAGGGATGCGGCATCTCCAGCGAGGGGTACACGGGGGGCAGGCACTCGCCCGACGGGTGCCCCTTGGTCGCCGCCACCACCACGGGGGCCCCCAGCACCTCCTGCGCGCCCGAGGGCGCCGGGAAGGGGTGGCCGAAGGGGCCGTAGTCGGGGCCGTAGGGCCCGGGCGATGCCTGGGGGCTGGCGGAGGGCGAGAGCAGCCCCGGCGCGCTGGGGAAGGCGGCGGTGAAGGAGTCGCCCATGGCGGCGGTGGGGCCGGAGCACCCCGAGGCGCTGCGGGGCTGGGGGGGGCGGTGTCAGTGGGGGAGCCCGGTCATGGCCCCCGGCGGCCTGCGGGGAGAGCGAGATGGGGGTTAGAGGGGGGGGGGGTCTGGCGGAGCTGTGGGGCACCCATCGGGGTAATGGGGCACCCATCAGGGCAATGGGGCACCGTCATTGCAATGGGGCACCCATCAGGGCAATGGGGCACCCATCAGGGCAATGGGGCACCGTCATTGCAATGGGGCACCCATCAGGGCAATGGGGCACCCATCAGAGCAATGGGGCACCCATCAGGGCAATGGGGCACCGTCATTGCAATGGGGCACCCATCAGGGCAATGGGGCACCCATCAAGGCAATGGGGCACCGTCATTGCAATAGGGCACCCATCAGGGCAATGGGGCACCCATCAGGGCAATGGAGTACCCATCAGAGCAATGGGGCACCCATCAAGGCAATGGGGCACCCATCAGGGCAATGGAGTATCCATCAGTGCCATGGGGCACCCATCAGGGCAATGGGGCACCCATCAGGGCAATGGGGTGCCAAGGCAATGAGGTACCCAGTGAAATGGGGTAATTACTGCGCTGAGGTCACTGGTGCAATGGGGCACTCAATATTGGTGTAACGGGTGCAATGGGGCACCCTGAGCAATGGGCACCCACGGAGATGGGATACCCAGTGAAATGGGGTAATTGGTGCAATGGGGCACTCAGCACGGTGGGGCCTCAGTGTTGGGGTACCAAGCCCCATAAGGCACCCCCAGGGCAATGGGGCACCCAATAGTGGGGCACCCAAGTCCATGGGAAATTCAGGACAGTGGGCACCCAATACTGGGGCAGGAAGCCCATGGGCCACCCAGAGCAATGGGCACCCAGCCCTATGGGGCACCCAATGTTGGGGTACCAATCCCTATGGGGCACCCAGAGCAATGAGCACCCAGCCCTATGGGGCACCCAATGTTGGGGTACCAATCCCCATGGGGCACCCAGTGCAATGAGCACCCAACCCTATGGGGCACCCAATACTGGGGTACTAAGTCCCATGAGCAATGGGCACCCAGCCCTATGGGGCACCCAATGTTGGGGTACCAATCCCTATGGGGCACCCAGAGCAATGCGCACCCAGCCCTATGGGGCACCCAATGTTGGGGTACCAATCCCCATGGGGCATCCAGGGCAATGGGCACCCAGCCCTATGGGGCACCCAATACTGGGGTACTAAGTCCCATGAGCAATGAGCACCCAGCCCTATGGGGCACCCAATATTGGGGTACCAATCCCAATGAGCAATGGGCACCCAATGTTGGGGTACCAATCCCCATGAGCAATGAGCACCCAATAGTGGGGCACCCACCCGCAGGCAGCAGCCCCCCCATCTACACCCAGCCCCACAGTGACCCCCATCCCGCAGCTCCTCCGTGCCTCAGTTTCCCCTCCAGCGCTGAGCAAACCCCATCTCCCCCCTCGCCGCGGCTTCTCCAGGGGCTCATAGCAGGGCTGTGCCATGGCAGAACCCCCCCTCCCCACAGCTCCCCACAGCTCCCCACAGCCCCCCCTGCTCCCAACCCCGGCTCCCGCTGCTTTTATGGCCTTTTAATCGAATTAGGCTGCGGCCTCCCCTCCCCGGGCCACTTCCTCTGCTTTAATGCCCTTCATGGCTTTCAGCTGCCGCCGCTGGGACCGGGCATCCCGAGCTGCATCCCCCCCCCCGCCTCCATCATCCCCATTCCCAACTTTTCCCCTTCATTCGCCGTTTTCTCCCTGCCCCCGCTCCCTCTCTGTGGCTTTTCCAGGTTTTTTTTCCCGGTGTTTCCTTTTGCTGGGGGGTCCCCGTCCCCCCCCGCTCCCTTTTTGCTGTGGTTTCTGCTCCTATTTTTGCGCCGGGCCCGGCCGCGGCCGCAGCGCGCTCCCGGTTTTCCAAGGATAACAAGGGCCAGGCCTGCGGGCCGGGAGCGCGGCGCTGCCGCCAGAGCTCCGTAATTAAAACCAGGGCGAGCGGCGAGCGCTTAAAATAGCGTCAAAGGGCCATAAATCAGCGCCGGTTGTGCCCGAGCCCGGGAATGCCGGGAGCTGCGGCTCAGCTCCGGGGCCAAGGGGGCACAACCGGTGGCTCCCAGTGGCTCCCAGTGGCTCCCAGTGGGCTCTGAGGTGCCCAGGAGCGGGATCCCCGCTTGTGTCCTTCATGCATGGAGTGGGGATGGGGATGGGATGGGGAAGGGGATGAGATGGGACGGGGTGGGGTGGAGATGGGGTTGAGAATGGGGAGGAGAATGGGGAGGGGGATAGGGTGGGCATTGGGATGGGGTGGGGAAGGGGATGAGGGTGGGGATGGGGATGAGAATGGGGATAGGGTGGGGATGGGAATGGGGATGAGGATGGGGTGGGGATGGGATGGGAATGGGGATTGGGATGGGGATGGGAATGGGGATTGGGATGAAGGTGGGGATGGGGATGAGAATGGGGATGGGGTGGGGATGGGATGGAGATGGGGTGGGGATGGGATGGGGATGAGGATGGGATGGGGATGGGGATGGGGATGGGGATGAGGTGGGGATGGGGATGAGAATGGGGATAGGGTGGGGATGAGGATGGGGATGGGATGGGGATGAGGATGGGGATGGGGAGGGGTTGAGGTGGAGATGGGAATGGGGATGGGTCCTGCAATGGGGCACGCCTGGTCCCCAGTTCCTGGTGTCTTGTTCACGAACCCCAGTTCCTGGGTCTTGGTCCCCAGTTTCAGGTCCCCAATCACCAATCTGTTATCTCCAGTCCCTGAGCCCCCAAGTTCCCCGGCTCTTGTCACCAGACCTAAAGCCAGGTCCCTAAAGCCAGTCCTTGTCCCTAAACCCCACCCCTCATCCCTAAATCCCATCCCTCACCCCCAATCCCAGGTCCACAAACCCCATCCCTGTCCCCATCCCTCATCCGCAGCCCCTGATCTCCAAACCCCATCCCTTGTCCCTAAACCCCATCCCTGTCCCCATCCCTCATCCGCAGCCCCTGATCTCCAAACTCCATCCCTTGTCCCTAAACCCCATCCCTGAACCCCAGCCGTCATCCCCAATCCCAGCTCCCTAAACCCCATCCCTGAACCCCAGCCCTCATCCCCAATCCCAGCTCCCTAAACCCCATCCCCTGACCCCAACCCCGGGTCCCCAAACCCCATCCCTGCCCCCAGTGCACCCCAACCCTGACCCCCGCGGGTGTCCCCTCATGTCCCCAGGCCTCGCTGCCACCAGCACCCCCCTGCCCTGTCCCCAGGGTCCCCCCATTAGCGGGCCCTGGCTCCCCCTGCTCGCACGGTGGGGGACACTTTGGGCTCCCCCATCCCCTCCCTGGTCCAGGTCCTGTGGGGTTTGGGGGGGGTGTCCAGGGACCACGCAGGGGCAGCACAGGGGGGAACAGAGGATGAGGGATGCCGGGGCCCTGGCTCCTGGTCCCCACGGCTCCCAGGGACCGCAGTGGCCTCTGGAGCCATCCCAGTGTCCCAGGGTGGCCCCGTGCCAGGGGTGGACGTGGCCCCATCACCACGGACCCAGCGGTGCCAGACTCTGGGGATGGAAACGTCCCCATGCCCAGCTCCGGGGTGCAATGGAGCCGGGGACCGATGTGTCCCCAACCCCAGCTCCGGGGTGCAATGGAGCCGGGGACCGATGTGTCCCCATGCCCAGCTCCGGGGTGCAATGGCGCTGGGGACCGATGTGTCCCCATGCCCAGCTCCGGGGTGCAATGGAGCCGGAGACCGATGTGTCCCCATGCCCAGCTCCGGGGTGCAATGGAGCCGGGGACCGATGTGTCCCCATGCCCAGCTCCGGGGTGCGGTGGCGCTGGGGACCGATGTGTCCCCAACCCCAGCTCCGGGGTGCAATGGAGCCGGGGACCGATGTGTCCCCATGCCCAGCTCTGGGGTGCAATGGCGCTGGGGACCGATGTGTCCCCATGCCCAGCTCCGGGGTGCAATGGAGCCGGGGACCGATGTGTCCCCATGCCCAGCTCCGGGGTGTGGTGGTGCTGGGGACCGATGTGTCCCCATGCCCAGCTCCGGGGTGCAATGGCGCTGGGGACCGATGTGTCCCCAACCCCAGCTCCGGGGTGCGGTGGGGCCGGGGACCGATGTGTCCCCATGCCCAGCTCCGGGGTGCAATGGCGCTGGGGACCGATGTGTCCCCAACCCCAGCTCCGGGGTGCAATGGAGCCGGGGACCGATGTGTCCCCAACCCCATGTCGTGGGGCACCACAGCCCCGTGCGCTGCCAGCACCCTGGGGTGCCCCAGGCTGGGTGCAGTGGCCGGTGCAGTGGTGTCAGGATGGGAACACCCATAGGGCTGGAACCAATCCAGGCCATCGGGGGGGGCCCTTCCCGGAGGGGTCCCGTTATCCCAGGGGACTCCTCCTGGCTCGTGGGGGGGCTCCTTCTCCTTTCCCTGCCCCGGGGGGCATCCCCCATCCTGCAGGGTCCCGTATCCCAGGGTCCCTGTCCCAGGAATGGGGGGGGGGGGGGTTCGGTCTCCATCCCGGAGGATCCCGGTACTGGGGCTCCCCTCATCCCAAGGGGTTCCCTGTGCCGGGGGTCTCCCCTATCCCAGGGTCCCTGTCCCACATGGGGTCCCCATCCTGGAGTGTCCCAGACCCGGGGTCTCCCCTGTCCTGGAGCGGGTCCCTTATCCCGGGGGTCCCCCATCCTGCCGGCTCCCTCATCCCGGAGGATCCTGTCTGGGGGTGCCCCGTGTCCCGGGATCCCTGTCCCGGGGTGCCCCGTGTCCCAAAGGATCATGTCCGGGGGTGCCCCGTGTCCCAAAGGATCCTGTGCCGGGGGTGCCCCGTGTCCCACGATCCCTGTGCCGGGGGTGCCCCGTGTCCCAAAGGATCCTGTGCCGGGGGTGCCCCGTGTCCCAAAGGATCCTGCCCCGGGTGTCCCCTACCCCAGGATCCCTGTGCCGGGGGTGCCCCGTGTCCCGGGATCCCTGTCCCGGGCTGTCCCCTATCCCAAAGGATCCTGACCCGGGGGTGCCCCGTGTCCCAAAGGATCCTGTGCCGGGGGTGCCCCGTGTCCCAAAGGATCCTGTGCCGGGGGTGCCCCGTGTCCCAAAGGATCCTGTCCAGGGGTGCCCCGTGTCCCAAAGGATCCTGTCTGGGGGTGCCCCGTGTCCCAAAGGATCCTGCCCCGGGTGTCCCCTACCCCGGGATCCCTGTGCCGGGCTGTCCCGTGTCCCGGATCCCTGCGCCGGCTCCTTACCGCGCTCCGGGGCTCGGCGGTGCTGGATGTCGGGGTCGGGTCCCGGTGCCCCGGGGCTCGGTCGGAGGAGGGAGCTCCGCTGCCGCCCGCCCCGCTCTGCCGCTGCGGCGGGGCTGGGCCGGGCCGGGACCGGGGCCGGGAGCCCGGCCCCGAACCGCCCCTCGCAGGGGGGGGAACGGGGGGGTCGAGGAGGGAGGGCAGGGGAAGGGGAAAGGGGAAGGGGAAAGGGGAAGGAAAAGGGAAAGAGGCTGGAAAAAAGGAACAAGGAGATGGGTTAGGGAGAGAAATTGGGGAGGAAAAGAGAGGGGAAAGGAGGGATGGGGAGGAAAGGGAGGAAAGGAGAAAGGGAAGGGAAGGGAAGGAGGAAGGAAACCAGGGAAGGAGAAAGGAAAGGAAATCTGGGGGGAAAGGAAAAGAAAGGAAAACAGGGAAAGGAGGGGAAGGGAAGGGAAACAAGGAAAGGGAAGGGAAAGGGAAGGGAAAAGGGAAGGGAAGGGAAGGGAAGGGAAGGGAAGGGAAGGGAAGGGAAGGGAAGGGAAGGGAAGGGAAAGGAAAAGGGAAGGGGAAAGGGGAAGGGAAGGGGAAAGGGGGAAGGGAAGGGGAAAGGGGAAAGGAAAAGGGAAGGGAAGGGAAAGGGAAGGGAAAGGGGAAGGGAAGGGGAAAGGGGGAAGGGAAGGGGAAAGGGGGAAGGGAAAGGGGAAGGAAAGGGGAAAGGGGAAAGGAAAAGGGAAGGGAAGGGAAAGGGAAGGGAAGAGGGAAGGAAAGGGGAAAGGGGGAAGGGAAAGGGGAAGGAAAGGAAAAGGAAAATGAAAGAAAAGGGAAAAGGAAAAGGAAAAGGAAAGGAAAGGAAAGGAAAGGAAAGGAAAGGAAAGGAAAGGAAAGGAAAGGAAAGGAAAGGAAAGGAAAGGAAAGGAAAGGAAAGGAAAGGAAAGGAAATATGGGAAGGCTGAAAATAAGGGAGGGAAGTGGAAGCTGAGATACAGGGACTGGGATGGGGTGGGAAGGGGAAAGGGAAGGGTGGAGAAGGAAGGGGAAGGGAAGGAGAAGAGAGTAGAGGAAGAGAAGGGGAAAGAGGAAAAGGAAAAGAGGGGAGAAGAGGCTGGGGAAGAAAGGGGAAGAGAGGGGAAAGAGAGGGGGAGAAAGGGCAGGGGGAAAGGGAAAGAGAAGAGGAAAGGAATGGATGGGGAAAGGGAAAGGGGGAAAGAATGGATGGGGAAAGTGCTGGGAAAGAGGGAAGGAAGGAGGCAAAACGAGGAAGAGCTGGAGAGGGAGAGGGAAAGGAACAAAGGGACAAGGGGGACCTGGGCCTCGTGACCCCGTGTCTGTGGGGGGATATGGGGCAAAACCACCCCAAAACAGTGCCCGTGGGGATGAGGGTCTGGGATGGGGGGACACGGGAGGGGGACACGGACAGGATGGGGATGGAGCAGAGACAGGGACAAGACAGGAGCCCGGATGGAAATGGGATATGAATGGGAGCAGGGACAGGGATGGGATGTGGATAGGAGCAGGGACAGGGATGGGATGTGGATGGGAGCAAGAATGAGGACTTGAGGAATGGATGGGGATGAAGCAGGGATGGGGACAAGAGGAGACCAGGGACAGGGATGGGATGTGGATGGAAGCAGGGACAGGGATGGGATGTGGATAGGAGCAGGAATGGGGATGGGATGTGGATGGGAGCAGGGACAGGGATGGGGAGTGAATGGGAGCAGGAATGGGGATGGGATGTGGATGGGAGCAGGAATGGGGATGGGATGTGGATGGGAGCAGGAATGGGGATGGGATGTGGATGGGAGCAGGAATGGGGATGGGATGTGGATGGGAACAGGGACAGGGATGGGATGGGATGTTGATGGGAACAGGGACAGGGATGGGATGTGAACGAGAGCAGGAATGGGGATGGGATGTGGATGGGAGCAGGGACAGGGATGGGATGTGGATGGGAGCAGCGACAGGGATGGGATGTGGATGGGAGCAGGGATGGGGATGAGATGTGGATGGGAACGGGCATAGGGACTGGAGGGGACCAGGAATGGAGCTGGAGGTACCAGGGATGGAGCTGGAGGTACCAGGGCTGAGGCTGGGTACCAGGGCTGGGGACAGGAGCTGTGGATGGGGTGGGATAGAGCAGGGATGGGGACAGAGGGGACCGGGGATGGAGCTGGGGGCAGGAGCAGAGACAGGGCCACGGGAGGTCCAGGCCATGCCCGTGCCTCAGTTTCCCTGCTCTCAGGGGTTATCCCCAGCCACGCTTTCCTCCCCCTCCACCTTTTTCTCCCTCTGTTTTCCCCTTTTCCTCCGTTTCCCATCCAAGGCCGTTCCGGAGCCAGCGGGGCCCTTTCCCAGCCCTGACTCAGGGTTTTCCGCTCCGGAGCCGCCGGCGCCGTGGCCGCAACCACGGCCCCCCCCCCCCCCCCAGCTGCACCCTCACTGGGCTCCACTGCCCGCAAACTGGGAGCAAACTGGGACAGCTCCATCCCGCTGCTCCCTGCCGGGGGGGGGGGGGGGGCACCCCCGGGGGGGGTCGTGGCCATCTCCGGGGGGGGGGAATTGGGGTTCGGGGGTGATGATGGCGGCACCGGGGCCTCCACAATTACCCCGGGGTCTGGGTCCTCCCTCCCTCCCTCCCTCCCTCCCTCCATCATTCATCCATCATCCATCCATCCATCCATCCATCCATCCAATCATCCATCCATCCATCCATCCATCCATCCATCCATCCATCCATCCATCCTCCATCCCTCCCTCCATCCATCCATTATCCATCCATTTCTCCATCCATCATCCATCCATCCCTCCATCCATTGATCCCTCCATCCCTCCATCCTCCAACCATCCATCCATCCATCCCTCCAACCACCCACCCATCCATCATCCATCCATCCATCCATCCATCCATCCATCCATCCATCCATCATCCATCATCCATCCATCATCCATCCATCCATCATCCATCCATCCATTGATCCCTCCATCCATCCATCCCTCCAACCACCCATCCATCCATCCCTCCAACCACCCATCCATCCATCCCTCCATCCATCCATCCATCATCCATCCATCCATCCATCCATTCATCCATCATCCATCCATCCATCCATCCATCCATCCATCCATCCATCCATCCATTCATCCCTCCCTCCGTCCCTCCATCCTCCCTCCCTCCCTCCCTCCATCCATCATCCATCCATTTCTCTATCCATTTCTCCATCCATCCCTCCCTCCATCCATCATCCATCCCTCCATCCCTCCTCCCTCCCTCCCTTCCTCCCACCCATCCCTCTCTTTCCCTCCCTCCCTCCCTCCATTCCCGCTCTCCTCCCATCCATCCCGTTATCCCTCCCTCCCTCCTGCCCCTCTCCCTCCCTCCCTCCCTTCAGCCCCCCCTCGCTCCCATCTCTCAGCCCCGCTCGGGGGGGGGGGCTCGGCCCCAGTCCCGAGCCTGGGGGGTCTCAGCAGGACGGGCGCTGCCGCGGCCCCCCCGCTGCGGTTGAGGCAGAGCCGGGGCTGGGCCGGGGGCACCGCGGCCTTCAAAGGGAGCGGGAATGGCTTCCATGTGTGCGGGGGGGCGGCACCGGGAGTGGGGACTGGGGGGCACCGGGAGTGGGGATAACGGGAACGGGGACTGGGAGCACTGGGAACGGGGACTGGGAGCACTGGGAGTGGGAGCACTGGGAACGGGGACTGAGAGCACTGGGAATGGGGACGGGGAGCACTGGGAGTGGGGATAACGGGAACGGGGACTGAGAGCACTGGGAACGGGGACTGGGAGCACTGGGAGTGGGGATAACGGGAACGGGGACTGGGGGGCACCGGGAGTGGGGATAATGGGAACGGGGACTGGGAGCACTGGGAACTGGTACTGGGAGCACTGGGAGTGGGGATAACGGGAACGGGAACTGGGGAGACTGGGAATGGGGACTGGGAGCACTGGGAGTGGGGACTGGGAGCACTGGGAACGGGGACTGGGAGCAGTGGGAGTGGGGATAATGGGAACGGGGACTGAGAGCAATGGGAATGGGGACGGGGAGCACTGGGAGTGGGGATAATGGGAACGGGGACTGGGGAGACTGGGAATGGGGACTGGGAGCACTGGGAACTGGTACTGGGAGCACTGGGAACTGGTACTGGGAGCACTGGGAGTGGGGACTGGGGGGCACCGGGAGTGGGGATAACGGGAACGGGGACTGGGAGCACTGGGAGTGGGGACTGGGAGCACTGGGAATGGGGACTGGGAGCACTGGGAGTGGGGATAACGGGAATGGGGACTGGGAGCACTGGGAATGGGGACTGGGAGCACTGGGAACGGGGACTGGGAGCACTGGGAATGGGGACTGGGAGCACTGGGAGTGGGGATAACGGGAATGGGGACTGGGAGCACTGGGAATGGGGACTGGGAGCACTGGGAACGGGGACTGGGAGCACTGGGAACGGGGAGCACTGGGAACAGGGACTGGGGATACTGGGACTGGGGACTGGTGGCACTGGGGACGTGGTACCCAGCCCATAGCACAGTGCCCCTGAGCCCCCCATCATAAAGTGCCCCCCCGGTGTCCCCTCCCATGACAGGTCCCTCGTGCCCAAACCCCTCGTCCCCGCGCTCTCCCTTGTCCTGTGCCCCCCTTTGTCCCCCCTTGTCCCCGTGTCCCCCCATTCCCTCTGCCCCCCCCGTGCCCCCCCATTCCCTCTGCCCCCCCCACTCCCCGTGCACTCCCTTGTCCCTGTGGACCCCTTTGTCCCCGTGTTCCCCTCTTGTCCCTGTGCCCCCCCCATTCCCCCTGCCCCCCTTGTCCCCGTGCCCCTCCTTGTCCCCATGTCCCCCTCATTCCTTGTGCCCCCCATTCCCCGTGGCCCCCAATCCCAGTGCCTCCCCGTTGTCTCCGTGACCCCCATTCCCCCTGCCCCCCCTTGTCCCCATGTCCCCCCCATTGTGTGCCCCCCATTCCCCGTGCCTCCCCCTTGTCCCTGTGCCCCCCCATTCCCCCTGCCCCCCCTTGTCCCCGTGCCCCTCCCTGTCCCCATGTCCCCCCCTTGTCCCCCGGTCCCCTCCTTGTCCCTGTGCCCCCCATTCCCCCTGCCCCCCCCTTGTCCCTGTGCCC